CTAGAGCCTATCCCAGCGATCGTTGGGTGAAAGGCAGGAGACACCCTGGACAGGACGCCAGTCCATCACAGGGCAGACACGCAGACATATGCACTCACACCCAATTTAGCATGTCCAATTGACCTGGCTGCATGTCTTTGGACTGTGGGAGGAAACCTACACAGACACAGGAAGAATTCCACACAGGAAGGACCCTAGCTGCCTGGCTGGAAATCAAACCCATACCCTTCTTGCTGTAAGGCAACAGCGCTACCCACTGCGCCACCCTACTGTCCCTGCAATGTATTTGACATGTATTTCAAATATATAAAAATATGTCCATATATTTTTGTCCATATAGGAAATCATATATCAAGGAAGAATGGGAAAACATTTCACTTTCAAAACTACAGCAGTCGGTCTCCTCAGATCCCTAATGCTTACAGAGTGTTGTTAAAAGAACAGGTGACACAATAGTAAACAGCCCCTGTCCCAACTTCTTTGAAACATGTTGCTGGCATCAAATTCAACATTTGTTATGTTGTCTTTGTATTATGTTCAATGAAATATAGGGTCTAAATGATTTGCACATCATTACATTCTGTAATTATTTACATTTTGCACAGCGTCCCAACTTTTTTGGGAATGTGGTTGTATATTAGTCTATACCGGCTCTGAACAGGATGTTTACAGATGAGGTGATGACTAGGCAGGCCGTGCATGTTCGTGTGTTTTTATTATTTCAGTTGATTTTTTTCAAAAAATAGCTCACTCTTCCTGGTTTCTACAAAACCACCTACTTCTCAAATGGAGCTACTGTAGATAGTGTGTAGATTGTGTCGGTTGGGGCACATGCAGAGCTTGTATTTTGCACAGTGTCATATATTCCAGTCATATAATCCAGACTTTATTCATCATTTCCTTTAAATGTCTAAACTCATGTTACTGCTAGCCATGCATCTCCACTTCTCTCTCTCTACAATAAAACTATGTCTAATCTTCACAGGATGACAATCATGGTGGACACTGGTGGTCTTAAGCCTGGTCGTTGAGAACCCCAGCTTTATGGGGTTTTTTTTTGTTTTTTTTTACCATTATCATACTTTTACCTAATCAGTAAGAATCTAATTTAATATTAGTTTGGCATGTATTTCTCCAGGTGCAGTTTTCCACAAAGGCATGTTTAATTTCTCAAGCTTTGTGGAAAACTGCACCAGGAGAAATACATAATACATAAGAAAACTTGGTAACACTTGACTCTTTCTACGTAACATAACCGCGCCATAAATATGTCATGGCCAGTGTCATATACTGTGATGGCTTATCATGACGGATTATGTCCTTTAATGTAACAGTGTTGTGTTACTATCACCGGTAAAATCAAGACAATGTGTCATCACAGATGCTACAGTTCTTGATTTAATGACTTTAAATTAGCATGTAACACAGTCTCTCGTGACGCCAAACGTTATATCAACTGTTATAACAATTACTAGTAATGGTAACATGGCACTTATGAACGCATATGATCTGTCATGACAACTCAAGACAGCACAAGACATCTGCCATGACATGTTCATAGCATGATTACAACAGTGTTATGTAGCATGGTTCAAATAACGTGTTACTGAGAATTTTGGACATTGCTAATAATACAGTGTGCAAATCTGCAATTCTGAACCATATATATAATATACTAGGATCATTTTGGGTATTTCACATGTAATTTTGTTACTGAGATTTTAAATCTAGTGCATTTGTATTAAAGTGTGAAAATGTGTGCTTTCACCCACAGTTAAGCTGATATATGTTCTTTTTGCTGACCAGAAAGTTAAGTCTAGGTGTAAGTAATAGATTTCTAGATGCAACATTTTGCTCTAGTAGACAGACAACAGAGAAAATGCTTTTCCATCACAGCAGCTCCTTCTTGTAAAATCAAACATTATCAGATGTGTCTCTCTCTAAACAGAAATATTGTCTTTTCTCTTTCAGTCATACAGACCTCAGCCTGCAGACAAAGTCATGAAGGACCTGAAGAGCAGAATCGCTCCATATTACAAAATACAGCCTCCAAAATCACTTCTTAACTGTAACTCAGTCACTCACTTTCTCCCTCACTTAGCTCCCACCTAGCTTCAATGTGTACAGATAATTGGCACTGAATAATACAAACTTCCAGTCATTAGAATGTACTTGTTGTCGGAACAAAACCTTGTATCTCCAGAATGATAACAATGATTTACAGGAGAAGGAAAAAACATGCTTTACTTTTAATGTAAGTCAATGGAACCAGACATTTTTTCAAGAAACTTTGAGCCCAATCATCATTTTGGTCCAATTTATACACAACGCATAGAGCAAAAGGGATTTTCAAATTTTGTCAAAAACTGAAAAACTACAAAAATTACGATACAAGGTTTTGTTCCAACATAAGCAATATGAACTTTTGTATCATCCACTATTCTGTCTTAGACTCTCCCTTAAAGTCAATTGAATTGCTTGGCTTTGTCCACGTGGTTTCTTTAAGAGTGTCAGCTTTTCTTGATTTTTTTTTTTGTTTGTTTACTACTCCTGAATGATTATATGTGATTATTATGATTTCTGTTGGTATAAAACAATTGTTTTTGACCTGAATAGAGAAATCTGAGACTCTCTCCTCAGTATGAGTATAGCTTACCTTCAGAAGATCTTGGACACCCTGAGGCCTCGTCAGCTGTTCTGACGTGCCTCTAGCACAGAGTTAGCTAAACACTGCTCTAATATGGTTATGACATCATCATCAGGTTGACTGCAAAGGTACAGTACAGGATTAATTCTTCAGTCATGGGGGTAGAGGCTAGAGGCTGGTTGAGAGGTTAAACAGGACAAGTGCACACCTCTGTAGCCCAAATCTAAAGAAGCTGATGGAGCAGTGAACTGAGACTGTATGAGCTGTTTGATTTTTTAGCCAGATAAGAAGTGAACACAGCGAATGTGCAGAGAGGAGCGAGCCTCTGACTTTTCAGATCATCTAAACCAATCAGTTTTAATCCTTTTTATATTATTGTATTACTTTTATTTTGGTGGGTTTTACTTTCCTTTCCATTTACTCCAGTTTAGCCTGTATTATCGTTTATTTTAAGCATTATAAAAAAACTGATTTTGTTGGAGCAGTTCTTTGAATAAATCTAAGAAAGGCATTTTGATTTTTTTGAACTCATGAACGTTTCGCCAAATCCAATTGTCATACATTTTACACAGCCTCCCATGGGTTATTGCTTTAGTGGACACAATCAGGAGCCAACAGAAACTTTCAATGGCTTTCACACTTACAAAATGATGGTTCTTCAAAGTTTTTTTAGTAAAGAAAGTGGTTCTATATAGAACCATGAACACTCAATGAATCCTTTGCATGATTAAGGGGTTCTTTGCATCATGAAAGGGTCCTTCAGATTGATGAAGAACGTGCTGTAGATGGTTCTATACAGAACCTTTTCTAAAAGGGCTCTTCTATTGTTACAATGTTAGGCTTGTAACAATAGAAGAACCCTTTTTAGTGCTATAACTCTGGAATCAGAACCCAGTTTCTGCTCAAGGAATGTTTTCAGTCACAGGTAGATGCAACTAGGTGGGCAGCAAGTTAAATCAACAGGTCTGTTAACTATAGCAATTACAAATCTGTGTACATGTCTGTGAACTGGATTCAAGGCCTGGCAGATAGTGGCCAATTTGTATGTGATTAGCATAGAAAATGCCAGTCTTGGAAATGAGCACTTCAAGACATTCTTGGCTCAACTAAAACCCACATTTACCTCTAACTTGTCTATCTGAACAGAAGAACCATCCTCTTAAACATGAGCAAAAGTGAATGTGACTAAATGTGACTACCAAACACCCACAGGGGGCGACATTTAATGAAAGCATTTCTAAATAAACCACAAGGTAACTGAATCGTGTCATCCAATAGCTGAAACATCGTGTCAATTTTTATTCATCAAAAATGCAACTGAAACGAGCACGTATCAAAAAGTCTGTACGACAAAAGCCTTTACAAAATGGCTTGACACTGAAGTCTTCTCCCCAAAATGGCTGTTACAACAAATTGTAAACAGTTTTGAATCAACAGTCTTACAGCACTTACAACAGAAAATACAAATCAGCTAAAATAAGAAAAAGCACCTGCTCTCCTTCGAACCTGAAAGAGGAGCACAAAAACACAACTGCGCCATCTGTACAGAGTAAAAAAAAATATACAATACGCAAAACAAAAACAATGGAATGTTCAATGTTAAAAATCAAATCGACTTATCCTCCATATATTTAAATTTTTTTTTCTCGCTTGACAAAAGGCAAAGGGCTGGACAATGCATTAAACAGACATGATGCACTTCAATGAAAAATACAAGCTGGTTTGGTCACTTAGCTTTGTGCATAGTTTTAAGGCATCATTTTTAGCAGTCTTCTGGAGAGAGAGAGAGAGAGAGAGGGAGAGAGAGAGAGAGAGAGAGAGAGAAAAAGAGTGAGAGAAAATGAGAAAGAGATGAGAGAGAGAACAATAGAGAGAGAACAATAGAGAACGATAGAGAGAGAGAGCGCGATTGTGGTTGAGAGACATTCTGAAAGGGAGTCTATATACTTTATACTTTTACAAAATGATAAGGAAGGGGTCAGCTACCTATGAAAGGCACCTTTTAGCTTCCTCATTCACTCCCAGCTGATAGATAAGCAGGTTGGCGAGACCCTGAGCGAATTCCATGGAGATTCTGGTCAGCTACATGTCCCGTGTCAGGATGCTTGTTCCAGGGTTAGGAGGGTCGTCCCGTCGCGGTGTGTGGGTCGGAGAGGGGGGCATAGGGCGAGGAGGGAAGCCGGTCCCTGGTCCTTTCACAGCAGTAGCTGCATGTCCGAGTGGCACCTTCTATTTTTAAATCTGGAGTGCAGGGAGAGGATACACAACGGAGCACAAAATGGCGTTTCGTATGGCATCTGGCGTGTGTCAGACTGACTGAGGTGCAGTCCAATTGTTTGTGTTTTTTTGTTTGTGTTCAGTACATCAGCAGTAGGACAACAGTTCAAAAACATGTAAAAGTGGTTCTTCACATCTGTGCTTAAAGGCAAAAAAATCACAGAACCAACATGATTCATTTATAACAATGACAACAAAAAAAGACATCTGTAAACAGTCTTTATAGAGGCAGCAAAATGACTGGGCTCTTCACATTTGTCTTTTTTTTCAGTTGTGTACACAAGGAGGAAGATTCATTTGCAAAAAAGAAACAAAAAAAAAAAACAGACACACTCACGTGCACACACACACAAACGCACACACACACCGTCTCTGGGTGCAGTCATTAAAAAAAGAAAACACAACTCTCATGAATACTCTTGGTGTTTACATCTCACTTGTGGAGCAATTCAAATGTGATGAAAATGGCACTTTTAACCCAACAAGAGGGGATCCTTCCTCTTTAGCATGTTTTCCAGTCTCTAGCAAAATGGCCAAGTTCAGTTTTCTAATCCATAATGCTCCCTCAAAAAAATTAAATAAATAAAAATACAATGACACTAAAAAAAGAAAAGAAAAAACTAACAAAAAAAAAACGCAGCAGTAGCCGAATGAGGTATCCATGTATTGCTCTATGTCAAAGGGAAAACAAGGGGTTAAAATTAAATAAATTAAATAAATCAGTGGTTGGTTTGAGATGGGAGGCGAGCAACTCATATGTGGCTTAAGGTACTGGGATGGGCGGGGGCTGTAGGAGTGGTCCTGTCCCCGCGGCGGGTGAGTGAGGGGGTGTCAGGATTGCGGGCTTCCCTGAGGTAAGGCTCTGGAGCTGGCCTCCTGCTCGCTCTCCAGCTCCTCAGAGCTGCCCGAAGCTTCGGGCTGCATGGCGTTCCAGCTGGCTTTGTTCAGGCACAGGTGGCCCAGCATGGTCTGAGAGAGCCGCGTGTCTGAGAAACGAGCCCACTCGGCAAACAGAGGCTCCACCACGTAGGTCATGAAACCTGGAATGAGAGATGATACGACTTACTGAGAGTGCTGGAGCTTACAGGAACATATGGGTCATTCTACTGAACTAGTTCAAACTGCGGTTCCACAAAATATCCAGGATAGACACCTTAGATATTTACAAGGATTACATTATGATTAATTTAAACCCAAGGCATTAATTTAGATGGTAATAAGCTAAATATATACAAAATCATCATGTATAAGGTGCTTTTCAATGGGAGAAGGCCTTAAATTAACACTTGTGACAATAATACTGAAAAGATGTAGATTCATCTTGAGTTTACTTTTTAAATAATAAAAAAAAACTTCCCATGTTTTCATGTCACTCCCGAAACAGAGTTTTAATCAATAGGCAGAGCCTTATTTCAGCCACACCCCTGCATTTTACAGCAGAAAGTGAGACTGCACCCCCGCCTCATGGCCACATGGTGAGCAGTTAGATACCTTTGTTTTAAAGTAACTGTGTCACGAAGTCTGAAAGTCAGTGTGTAACATTAAGCATTGTCAGTACCGAAACACATCTTCTGCATTTAAGTAAACTTTGTGTTTTAATGAAAAATGTAGATTTTTTTTTGTGTGCACACCTGTTCAAAGCTGTTTTTGCTAGTCATGTGCTAGCTAGCGTTTTTGAAATCTGCTCAAAATTACCTGAAATCGTCACTACCAAAACACACACTTCCCAAATATCTGGTAAAGTTTAAAAAGTGTTATGACTTTTGTTAGTGACAAAATGTTCAATCATTTGTTTTAATAAACATAATTAAGGTATGGGGTCACTCAAAGCAAAAGGATTTTAATGTAAAGTCCAAGTCAGTTAAAAGTCTGAAATGTGTTTTGAACTCTGACTTTGAACTAAATGGGTCCAACGATCCATATACAGTTGTCAAATTACATGTTTGGTTGATTTTCTAAGTGAAAATATCAACACATCCTCTACAGAGAACGCACTTTGCACACTTTTTTGTATTTGCTGAATTTAAGGTACTGAAGGAAAAACTGTCCAACTCTGCCCATAAACACTGTACTATAATTGTGCACTAACATTTGCAATAAGACTCAATTTGGTTGATTTAAAAATAACTACATGTGAAAACAATGCTAACATAAGTACTAGAAGCTTATAGCCATGTCAGCTGCATTAGCTTTGTAGCTCCAGTGCGAAAATAAAGAAGCAAACTTCAGGCATCAAACATGTCTTGGCAGATCTATTCTGTATGTTATTATTTTTTAATCATGGAGCTCTTCAGAATGACTTCCTGTAAATACAGCCTGAAACTGTGTCATTCAATCTGCTGCCATACATCCTAATAAAATGATATGCACTGAGTGAAAGCTGTGATTATCTTTGCATTGAGTGTCAGTTGTTGTCTTTTTACTCAATCTAATGTCCTTTTAACACTGTTTTCACTTGGTACTTTTAGCTCCATCTTGATAAGATCCTTGGAATTCATGTAAGTCTTGATTCAGAAACACTTACAGTATATAGCCATAACAAACATGACAGCCCTGCGAGCTGTGTTAAACTGTGATAAACTGTGATAAGCTCACCCTTCATTATTATTGCTGTGTCTCTCAGCCAGTCAGAGAACGGTCTGTGCCATCTGACAATTACAGGGCTGGAGGTTTCAGATTGTTAGTGTAGGTGCCAACAGCCTGATAAACAGGCCAGTAAAGTGGATTAATCAGATCACAGAAGATACATTCAGTGTCACCTCCTGATACAGTGAAATGTGAAGGACAATAACACAGCATCTCCTTGCCCTGTTAAGACACATCTTTATCATCTAGGCTGTCTGCTGTTTGTCGCTGCAAAGAACTAAACCTTGGTGGAAGAGTTGGCTCCAACATGCTCCTGCATTTTGTCAAGATTCTTGAGTTTACTAAGTGAAAACACTGCCAAGAACACTGTGTTCGTCCTGAATGTGTGAGAGTTGACACCAGTAGTCCAGGAAACCAGAATCTTACCAATCTGAACATCGGCTATGGAGTTAGTCTCGCTGTCACACAGTGGGCTGACTTCAAGTTTGTGCTTCTTCTCAATGTCTCCTAAACATTTGGAATGAGAGGACAAAAGTTGTCACGTTAGGGAAAAACCTCAGTTTGTGGGTAGCACCGAATTGTCAGACTTTATTTTGATGGTCCATTTAATTTTGTCCACTGCTGCTCATATTGTTCAACTAGCTAACAGCATTAGGGAGTTAGGGTTAGCATGAGAATTAGCACTGAGAGTTAGAACTAGGTTTAGATTTATATTCTGAGTTAAGTTTAGGGTTAGAGTGATCGGTTTAGGGTTAGTGACATGTTAAATTGAACTTACAATGTATTTAGCTTAAAATGTTAAAAGAAAGGTGAGCAGCAACAGTGGAGCATCAAAATAAAGTGTACCTAGAGCTGTCAAAGTCAGCAAGTTAACAAGAAATGATTAAAATCCCAGGGAACACAGAGTAAAATACAAAAAAAGGTTTGTATGATAAACAAAAATTTGATCAAACAGATTAAAAACCACCAATCTGACCTACTGGAGAACTGTGTGGGCGTGGCTAATGAGGAGCTTGATTGATACATGTCCTTCCAACACTTCTAGTCTGCTCTGCCGCTCATACAGAACTAACAACATAACTTCGTGCTTTTATTTGATGCTAACTGGATGGAAAAAAGTCACACAGACAAACCACTGACTGTATATATGATATAATCGCTCAATGGAACACGCAGCCACTGTTGCTCTCTCTGAACTTTGGTGATGAAAACGCTATGGAAATCATGAGGCTTTCCTGATCGGGTTCATGATGAAAATCTTACTGAGGTAATAAAGAATGTAATAAATACACTCTGATGAATCCTATTATGTCCACTCAAATAGCTATAACAGCACTGCTTTCAAATGAAAAAAACGTATTTAGGGTCAGATTTGATCGAATAAGACGAATGTGATTAATTCCAATAAACCAAACAAAACAATGTGATTAATCATGACTAATTAGTTCAACTGTTTGACAGCCCTAGTGTTTCCCATTGTCTTAGTGAGTGTAATGTACCTTGGCGGAAGAACTCCTCCGTCACCTTTTCACTCCACTGTTTGCTGAGCTCCCACGGCCTACATGGGTTACAAATATCAGCACACTTCAGGGCCATCTGCACACAGAGAGATCACACACACACACACACTGATTCAGGAGCTCAAGAGTACCACGAGAAGTGAGTATCTTGGCAGGCTGCAGAGACCTCCACCGTCTGCCAGGACTTGCAACAGAAATTTAATAAAGGGTGTCTGCATAACTTCACTTCAATAAACAGTTTTCTACTTCTGAATAACCTGTGCTGCTCATTTTAAACCCCCCAATAATCCATATTCTATTTTATTTTCTTGCCCACTGATTGAAATCAATCATTTTATAGTAAGTCCATCAACATGTTCGCCTGATGTGTAATTAGCATTTTGAAACTTGTTTCACGAAATTGTTTCGCTTGAAACTGTTGCAGTTGCAGGACACTTTACTTACACAACTCCAGTGTAATTTATTTTTCAAGCGTTAGAGTTCTTCCCTGTCAGTCAGAGTCCTGTTGGTGCTCCCTCACCTGTAAGATGAAGTGGCGATGCGAGGCGTTCCCCAGGCACAGGTCCTCCTGGTCCAGGTGTGTCCTGAACTTGGACAGGTATTCATTCTGCCTGCTGATATCTGTGGCTAAAATCAGAGAGCCCAGCTGCCTCTCCATGTTCAAACTGAGAAGATAAAGGAAAACTTTATTAACCAACTTAAATGTGAAAATGCTGTTGAAACACACCGAAAAGTTGGACCACTAGAAGTGAGCAGGAGTGCAGAGGTTTCTCAAACATGACAATGATTCACTTACAATTTTTTGATTCAGTGAAATCTCAAATTTCACCATATGGACTATTTTGCCACTAATTAAAATGAATATTACTTATATAGAGTAAGTATTTGCACAGTAGAATGTAAGTAAAGCGATACACAATGTATTTATTAGATTAGCCCTAATTCTAACTGACTGTAACAATCCAAAATCAATGCAGATGATCTGCATCTTCAGATCTATATTTCATTCATTTTTACACACCCAGACTTGAAAGTATGCTGTGATACACACCTGTCTTCTGCAGGAAGATGAGAGAAGAGCTCGGTTTCTCGGAGCAAACCCACTGCAGACCTCCAGTGGTGGTTCTCCAGAACTGAGGTATTCTGTACAGCCAAATACAGTGAATAAGACAGTGCTGGTTTGAGACTTGGATAAATATGCTCAAAATCAAATATTCACTATTTTCCCCCCTCAGCCCGAGTAAAGTCGACCACTCAAGTGATAACTGACCTGAGGTTTGCATCTTTAATTTTTCTACTGGGGCTACAAGGCTAATGAAGCTAACAAGTAAAGGAAGCTTACACCCCAAACATGAAAACTGTGCTAACTGCATGTCTAAATCATCACACACTTACTTCAGAGTTAAGTAAGCTCTAACAGACTCGCTTATTTGGCTCCTGACACTGTATGATATACAATGCTGTGCAAAAGTCAGAGACCATCCTTCATTTATTTACCGTCCAGTCAAAACATATTACGTACAAGCTCTTCATTTTTCAGGAAATATTTCTGAGGAGTTCAGAAATACGATAATCAACTTGCATTATGATGAGAAAAGTCAAAAGAAAATAAAATAAATGGGGAAAAAACAGGTTTCCTGAAAAGAATGGACGCTGTAATAAAAGGTGGACACACCAAATACTGAAAATGTGTATATTTAGTCTACAAAGCATCTGTGCAATTTTCTTTTAAGTATATGTTTTCTGCTTTTTTTTCCCCCTCATGCTTAAAAGTGGTCTCTCACTTTTGCACAGTGTTGTATTACTTTCTAAAAACATGGAAACTGGAACTGTGGAAATGTTAAATGACACTTGGTTATATAACAATTTGCCCATTTTTACAGGTAACATGTTAAACAGCGTCAAAAACATGAGTGAGTCTATTTAAGATCCTCCTGATTCACTACATTTGGTTTAGGGGGAAAAATTAGTGTAAATTCGATTTTTCAATAAACAACCCCTAAAATTAAAGGAGTGCTGCTCTCACCCTGTACAAAGCGGCTAGGTAATGGTTGGTTTTGATGAGGAAAGGTTGATTGACCCCTGGATGGTCCAGATCATGAGTGGCCGCTGCCAGAAGGCCCAAGAGTATATCACAGGAAGTAAGGGACTTGGCAAGCTACAGAGTAAACAAACACAAAACACACAGAGTAAGATCAGGTGCGCAGCTCAGTAAAGTCATGCTTGGTGAGAGTTTGTTTCTCCTGCGATCGTACCTTGGGCTCTTTCAGATAACAGTGCATCGCCTGGGTCACGTCTGCAGCGTGGACTGCATTATGGTAAGGATTATGATTGTGGTAGTCCTCTTGAACCAGAACTGAAAGCAATAAAACAAAGCAAGATGAATTCAGGTAAAAAAACTGACTCTTTTGCTTGGCAGCCAGACAACACTGAATAATGCATTTAGCCTCTCCCTCAGCTTTAGTCATGCTGTATAATTGATATGGTATAACTATCAGAAGAGGCTATCCTCCAAGATCACTTACCAGTTAACTTTTAAAACAAGAAACATACTTTCCAGTCATAAATTAAAGGAACGGTTTGAGGAAAAACATCTAATTTCCACTTACCCCAGACGGAGTCGAGCAGGCAAGAAAAAATAAATTAAGAGTTTAGCGCTGGACATACGGGGCTAACACTGCTACCAAACATTAGAAGTCTTCAGTCACCCAAATCACATCTGCAAATACATCCCCAAACATTCCCTCACCTTGCATCCAGCTCTTCGTTAAGGTTGTGCAGACTTGACAATGTGAATTTAGGCCACAGTATGACTTACTGTGAACTGAATGCAGCGGTCAGGCATTTTAAACAACCGCTGAATTATGAGTTCCTCACAGAATCCAACTCTTCTTCAGTGCAGGGACTTTACTAAGGCATACGGACACTAGGTTACCATCATGATATCTGTTGTTCCTATTTAGACTTAGGGCTTTAGTTTGGAAATTAGCAGATGGTCAGACAAATTTCACTTGTCTAAAATGACTGTCCGCAGTGTTCATCTACGCAGTGAAAGTTCTGTTTGTTTTTATAGTTGTCAGAAAGTCATACTGTGTCCTAAACCACTTAAACAAGTCTGTGCACTCTTAAAGAGTTGAATGTTTTCTGAGCAGGTTAAGAGAAGTACTGGGGATGTATTTGCGGAAAGAAATTGGGTGACTATTGACTTCTATTGTTTGTTAGCAGTGTTAGCCTCGTAGCTCCAGCATTAAACTGGAAAAAAAAATGTATAGCATGTCTTGTCTGATCTACTACAACTGGGGTAAGTGGAAAATTATAGAAATTTTTATTTTTACAACAGTATTCCTTTAACCTTAGTGATGGACTCTGTATGTTGAAAAAGTTTACACTGGAACTTGTGCAGTACCAGATCATATGTATAATCACTCACCTAAAAAGCGATGCACTTTAACCATGTCTAACTGGAAGAGCTCAATTAAGCCATAATGACTCAGCAGATATAACGTCAAGGTGACAAGACTGTTTCCTGAAAACAATGACAGAAAGAATACAATATGTTTCACGAGTATTAAAAACTGGGCTACATATTCGCTTATAATACAATTCTTATATTAACATTAACAAGTCTTTATGTATAACAAATTCTATTAACATCACATTAAAAGTTGGAAACGGAAAATAATAGCAAAATTTATTGAAAATAAATATAAATTTAACAAGAAAACATACATTCACAGTTTGATCATTTGGTAAGGTTGCACAGTAAAATTCATATGCATTATCTGGCCAGCAGATGGCAGTGCTGACCACAACTACAGCAGCAAATACTGGTCACGCTCAGTGCACTGCGACTCTTAAGAGGGGAATACCGGCACGATGCATGGCGCGCACACGTTCTCACACACACACACACACACACACACAAACACACATACACACACACACACACACACACACACACACACACACACTCTCTCTCTCACTCTGGCGTGACAAACCTGAATGCTCTTCAAAGACACTTTAAAGCATTTACCATTCGTCAGCCTGTCGAAGAGGAAAATGTCAAAATTCCAGCTTCCAACCTTTTCCAACATACACTGCAAAAGACACAAGAGACAAATTAAAACACAAACGAAAAGACACAGAAAAGCTAGAAGACATAATATATCTAAATAACTATCAACATACAGCACTGGGCAAAATTCAGTGACTCTCCCACCCTCCCACTCCCATCTATTTCATTTCCAAAATTCCAAAAGCCACTGAGTTACCCATTTTTCGACATCAGGAAAAAACAGCAAATCACTACCAACCAAACTTTTTCAGTATTTAGTGACCACCATTTTTCTTTTATTACAGCTTCCATTCTTTTCAGGAGACTTGCTTTCAGTTTGAAGAAATCTGCAGGATCATTTTCCCACATCTCCAAAGTTCAATCTTACAAGTTGGTTGCATTTTCCACTTCTCACAATCCAAGTAATTTCAATGTTTTTTTTCCCCCCACGTATTTTACTTTTACCTTCTACTTCCTTATACAAGTAACTTATCTTGTATCTAATCTCCTGAAATATCTTCTGAATAACTACTACGTTAATGGTCATTCTGATGGGAAATTACATAAATGAAGGATGACTTTTACACAGTACTGCACTTCCAGAATATACTGTAAATGTAGCGGCGAAATTGTGCTAATATGCATAAGGAATAGCAACACTGGCCTACAGAATATAATCAGTTATTTTAGATATGCATGAAAAAATCTTGCTTGCATACGTCATACATGTTGTCAGTAGTAACTGTACTATTATTTATTTGGTACTTTAGAATTGCTCACTGTTCCTAGAAGTTGTTTAAACCAGATTAATGTTTGATGCCTGAGTGAAAAGAAAAAAAAAAAAAACACAAACTTCAGCCCACATAGTGCTGCACACAGGACGTTAGACTGCTCAGTGTAATCTTTTAAAATGCAAAGCATCACTTTCCATAAGCTAACGGTCATCAGCTTTGCATGAAATTTACATTGCAGAAAAGGAACACGTGTAAGAGTCAATGGTATAATGACATTTCAATGTTATCTTGAAGGAAACTACAAAGGTTAATAAGGTTATTACAAAAGTGATAATAGGTTAGAGCACACACTAAAACTCAGTTCATCTTCAATCCACTAAAAAGGTCCACCTTAAGATGGTTCCCTTAACAGCAATAAACATTCACCATTACACTAAAACTAAGCACTAATCCGGTTTTCCTAATCCTAGATTTCAGTTTTTAATGTTTATTCAGTAGAAAAGCCCAAAACAATTGCTTTTGTTAGAAAAACCTGAATGCTAGAGAGCCGATTCAGTAAAGTGTCTACAATGTAGCCTCAATGACACGTTTCCTCCTAGGGTGTTGGCGCTGGCACATGTGGGGACTGAATGAAGCAGTCACCACAGAATATGCTGTCGACTGCGTAATCTACATATTTTGATTAGGAATGCACCAATCATTCATTTCTATAGTCGATTTGGCCGATGGCTGATAATAATCAGCCTTTTATTGAACCCAAAGCTCACACTGTGTGAGATAAATGATCACATGAAATAAACTTGCAATTTAAACATTATTTGCTCTTTAGTTTAGTTACAGTGCACCAGCGAACTGGAAAATTTTACAGGAAACTCTAAAGCTCTGCCAGCCAGTATCACTCCACCACTTTTAACTTTTCACTTCTAACCACCCCCACTCAGCCTGCAACTGTTTTATCTGATAACTGCATTTGTTCATTTAGGCTTGTTAGTTTTCATTTGTTCTAGTTTTAGTAGTTCAATTTGAACTTTTTCAATCCCTGTTTAAATCTGCTGATTCCGATCTTGGTCTATTCAGTTTGTCCCTAATTTTAATGATAAATCAGTTAGAGGTTTGTTTTTTCAAAGGGAATTTCTTCAAATCTCTTATGTAATACAATAACGGCGGTAAACAGTCATTCACAGTGGTTTGATGGGAAATCTTTCATTGTGAATCTTACAGACTGATTTCTTTACAGTGGTGGTGATAGAAACCAGGGGTCACATTGTCTACAACGGCTACAAATGTCCATTTTATTTACTAACCAACATGACCAGTGAACCTACTCCTAGTGGTAAAACAAGTGAAAAATGAAAACAAAGCTACCTACTATTTAGGTACTATGCCATAAATTGATTTTAAAAATAGGTCCAGTGCCAAAAGCTTCTCTCAAAACTACCATAAAACAATGTCTCAGGTATCAGGAAATGTATAACAACCATTTTGTACAGTAACGGTTTGCAGCTTTCAGAGGCATTAAGGGTGTTAGACGTCTGGTTCCCATCACCACCACATTTCTGACTCGTTTCATATACAAGCGCTCTGAATGACTCAGAATGACCTTTACCCTTTGTTCTTCTAGAAATTAAAAAAAAAAAAATTATGACAAACCATGCATAGCCTTTCAATCATTACCAAAAAAGGGGGAGGGAGTTGTATTTTATACAAAAAAGGCTATGTGGCAAAACTGTAGATAAATGGCTTTCTGATAGTACAAGAATTTTAAATATGAATTATCAACAAATCAATGCTGATTTTATTCAGAAAGGAAATGTAATCAAATTTTATTGAATTTAAACTGAGTTTAAATCAATTAACCATTACAGCCCTACACTGAACACACCTTGGCTTGGCCGCAGTAGTCCTCATCCAGGATGTGGAGGGGGTTGAGGTGTGGTGCTCCCCGGAGAAAGCGCGAGGACAGCAGGTGCCGCTGGAAACTGAAAAGCCTGCGGATCCTCCGGGCTGGAATCGATCCCGCCGACTCAGCACGGGCTGGACACACAGGGGAGGACAGTCATGAAATCTCCATGGCACACGCACAAACAGCATGACTTTTTAGGAGCGCGACACAAAAAATAAGCGTTCATACTAATCTCCTAATGCAGTTACTGCCTCAAGCTGATATTCTCTCCTGTTACATCAGGCTGAAATTTGCTTAATTGCTACCCACAACCTGTTAAATCTATGAGTAGCTTTTAGCTGTTTAACTACAAAAACCTGTTCCTATGTAACTTTCTCTCATTCCAGGGTGACAAAGAGGGAGCCAGTGATGAAAACCTGTTATGGCAAATAACTGCGGCTGCCTGAAGTTCTCAGTGGATTAAAAAGAACGTGAAAGGTGATTGATTAACAGTACATTCTCATGCAGACAGAAATGTGCTCAGCAGTGCCAGACTGCTGACGCAGCGAGCCTCTCTCAACCTCCGTTGCCAGGGCACTACAGTTAAAACTCCTGCTCGCTGTGTGCCTGCTGGGGCCACGCTTGGCTGGAGTGTCCAGGCCGGAACAGTCCAGACAAGTGAGGAGAAAAACCTTTAAAATATGACGGCAGCTTTACGACAGCAGCTCTGTGAGTGAATTCAGCTTTGTGGGTAAATTAAAACAGAGTCCAGCAGTTCATCATATGTGAAATGGCATCCTTAAAACAGTGTCCTAAAGCTTACGGCAGCGGTTCTCAAACTGAGGGAGGTCACAGGATAGTTTTTGGACATACAGTCGTGTGCAAAAGTCGGAATAACCCCTGATCAAATGGCATGTTTTGTCGGCTTTATTCGTGATAGTAAGTTAGCACATCTAGTCTCAGCCTTAAACACTCCGCCCACACAGAATCGGAGCATCTGAAATCTTTCACACAAAGCTGCCACAACTGGCAGGATTTTGGAAGTTGCATTCTGAGTGGCTATCTGTACTTCTGTGTATACGTATTTCCGTGCAGCATTTATCATTTGGACAAGAAACTAAGTTTCATTTTTTAAAGCTGAATTTTAGTCAGCAGTATCAAACAACTGCCTACACATTGTGATGAAGAAAGAGCCTTGTAGAGCAAGATATACATCAGTGGGATTTTTACAACTGCCACAGCAAAAAAGCTGGCTGTGATTGGTCATCCTGACAAGGTACGTGGTTCTTGACCACATTATGTGGTGAAGGGCACCAGACTGGCTTGCGAGACTATCACATCCTCTGCAGATTGGAAGAGAAAAAAAATGTACATAATAAATGTGCAAAAACTTTTGCACAAGCCACATTTATGGCAGCAGCAGCCAATATAGCAGCTAAATTCAGTATGTCACTATGTATATGGCATTTGGAAGACGCTCTTATCCCAGAGCAACTTCCAATTTGATCATTTTTGCACAGCTAGGCGAAGGTAGTGTTAGGTGTCTTGCCCGAGGACTCTTATTGGTATAGTGTAGGGAGCTTACCCAAGCAGGGGTTGAACCCCAGTCTACAGTGTAGGAGGCAGAGGTGTTACCCACTACACTCTAACAACCACTATATTTGCATATATGCACACCACACACATATATATATATATATATGAATTTAGCTGCTAGATTGGCTGCCAAGCATTGCGTGTGTCGTGATTACTATACTACAAACTATACTACAAAGCACAGACATCTTACTTTGTTCAGAACAGCAAGTAATTAAAAGAGTTGCAACTGTTTTCATACAATTTCGAAGTATACAATCAAAACAAATAGCTGTTTTGCTGATGATCTGCAATGGCATGTACTGTGCATGGCCATGTATGATTGAGTACAGAAGACTGAAGCGTTCTTCACGTTGGTACTTACAGTGCAAGGTCCGGAAATCAACACCCAGGTACGGGTGCGAGCCTCTTCGTTCAGGTTCAAAGCCTACCTGGCTCCTCACTCTCACATCTCCTAGAAGGCATCAACACAAAGGCCCTCAAGAGATTTGTTAGCATACACAACTAGCAACTTTTTTTTATTTTATTTTTTTTATGACCCAAGGAGCAGGGCCTGAGCCTGGCAATGAAGATACAGAAGGCACACAGAAACACATGCACACACAGCCAAAACGAGGAGGAGGGGGGGCTCGGGGGCAGAGGGAAGTGAGCATGCAGCTCCATGCCGGGAAGAGAAGGCATTAGTATTCAGACTGCCATGAGCGAGGTGGACACGGGAAAGAAAGACAAGCTTGTGCCTCAGTCCAGGTCAGAATGGAGAGGAAATCAGAGGGACTTCAATGAGGCTGGCCAAAGCTCTCAAGTCACATCTGTTAATTCTCATTCAATAGGCCTTTTCATGAGACTCTGTGTTGGGGAGGGGAGGGGAAAAATACTGCATAGACTTCTACTGAGTAATGGCAGCCTTCAACATGTCAGTCACTACTGATTGGTGTAAATGTGCAGTAAATAAGTGAATAAAGAAATAAACTCAAATAAAAATAAAATAAATAAAGACAGCCTCCCACCAGTACATTTACTTACTTGAAAACAGCTGTTTGAATATTACACAAGCCCCTATCAAAATACCAAAACTGTGAATTACAATTACATAAAAACACTATCGAAAAAAAGAAATAATCAGTCAAACAAAGACAGACATGAGTGTAAAAAACAGCATTCAAAGTTTTGACAGAATGTACAAAAGTGTAGTAGCACAACGTCACGCATGCAAACAGGAAGTACCACACATTAAAAACCAGACTGAAGCTCCTTGGACATGCAGTAGGAGGGAAGCTGCTGAGGTGGAGAAGCAAAGGGGAGGAGGCACATCCCGATTACGGAACCAAAGCAGCAACTTTGTTCTCCAGCAGCCCATTGTGGGCCATTTTGTTAGCGGTAGGACCTGAACTCTACGGTGCGGCTCTGACCGCCTCCTTGAGCATAGATCTCTGAGGTGTTGTCATTTTATAGCCATTAGCATCAAGATGTGTCCTGGGTCTAAGCGGTATTTCTCTATGGGGGAAAAATCAATGCCATTTTTGAAAATCTCATTTCACACTTTGTGGATAATCGTCGCTGGTACGTTTTGTTCTATGTACATTTTTATCTAGAATATCTTTGTTATTTGAATTATAAGATTGCTAAGTAGCCAAAATAGGAATATTACTACATACTTGCTACATCCAAACTAACACTCTTGCTAAGGCTGGCCCAGACAGCATTTTACAGGCTTTGAATATTTGTTCTCCAAATAACAATTTTAAGCACATTCACTACTGCATTTCTAAACATGCCCAGTAGGGGGCAATAATGTACTATCAGTGGGCTCAAGCGCTGCATGTTGCTATAGAATCCTCGATCGTAGCCATCACGTACAGCTTTTATGAATCACTTGCCTCGCCTGTATATTGTTTATGAGTCACAAGTAGATGCTAAAGGTGTAACAAATTAGAATTATCGTTTTGTTTATCACCATCATGGTTTTAGGTTTAGTTTGTTTAAGTAATAGCTGTTTTATTTATCAAGATATTTTACTAGGCTAGCTTCCTGGTTTTTTTTTAATGGAAAGCAGCAGTGAGAGGGACATACAGCCCAAGTTGAGCTCAGTCATAGCAGAGCTACAGAGAGTGCGGTACAGGACTGGGGAGCTCTGGGAGCTACAGGACAGTCTCAACACAAGGACCACCCTAGATAAGGCTCAGCAGGTACCTCACTCAGCTGGTGCAGCTGATAATGCAGTGTAGTTTAGGTTATAATTTATGTGGCTTGAAAAAGCCACCGAATTTTCAAATAGAGTTGAGCAATATGATAATATTTATCGCTATTGTAAATTACGACACAATATGCTTTTCTAAGCATATTGTTGATATCGTTAGTACTTCGACAACACTAATCACCTTCATGTTTCATTACAAAGTGAGTGTAATTAGTCCTGTTTAATTGCAGTGCAGTATAGGAAATGTCAAATAAAAATGATTTGTACATTGTATATTTTTAAATGAGGCACTTCTGGCTCTTTTTCATTGGTCAGAAAATAATTAAACACTGACACATTGTGTGACAGTAATTTCTTGCAATACCGGGACATTTTCAGCACCACTTCCAAATACTAAACAGGGTATTTTGAATACCAAATGAAATTTAAATACCAAATTCAAAGTATTCAGGATGACCGTAACTCCTACACCTTTAATTGACATCATAATAATTTTGGCATCCTCAACCAAATATCTAAACCAGCAGGCTGTGTCAAATGTGGTAGTCATGTGCTGTGGCAGTGATTGGCTACAATCTGAGAAGTCGGTGTAACAAAATAGAGCTCTAGTAGTGGGCAGTTGTAGTAGCAGCCTACGACTGAACGAATGAAAGCACAGGAGCATTAACTTGCTTCTAGCAAGTATGTTGCAATGTTCAGATACTGACAGCTTATTGATCTCGTAATTAAGAGCATCCAATGACATTAGAGCGGAAATATGCACATGCGACAAAACAAGCAAGTTTTGCGGCATTTTTGTTTACTGCAGGAAACGATAGGGGCAGATTTCTGAAAACGGCATTCATTTTTCCCCATAGACAAAAATGGCTCTTTTGTTTACTCTTATGAAAAGACTGTTTTATTGCTCACTGATTACAATCAAAACATCAGTCAGGGTTAGGTCACTGGTTTTAGCTACATGCTTTGGGGAGGACGGTTTATCAAACATTTTAAAAAGTTCATTACACATTTACACGGCCTACAAAATGGTAGTTCAACAGTAATGTTTGTGCAACCGCGAATTACAGCTCATAAATTCAGGCAGCGACACAGAAACAGAAGAAGTGAAGACTGCGGAAATGCAAATCACTTTGATCTGTGCAACAACTGTTTCTTCATCATCTGAACCGAGGGGTTCAATTTAGATATGAAACACTATAGCATTCAGGACATGCTAAGCCTAATGCTGGAGAATCCCCAGTAACAAAGGCTGGGATTAATCATTGGCCAGAAAATCAGTCCACTGTATTCTGTTGGGCTTAGCGTAGCTGTGGCAATGTGTAACTTGAACAATATGAGGTCCAATGAAGACATACTGCAAATAGCACCCCATTTAGATACTCTATAAAACTGGTCTTGAAATAATCATATTAAAAAGAAAAGGCATCTCTAGATGCACAGTCGGCAACTCTAGTTGCCATCACGACAAGTCTGCATGTGTTTTCCTATTTGACACTATACAGATTTGGATCTATCACCATTGCACCATTCTTAGAGGTCAAAAGGGCACTTAAAATCTGGAGAGGTTCCAGGTTGTAGTGGGTGGTATCTATGTTAATCAAATCCATGCTAATCAAATCACATATAATTTCAGGCAAAGGCGAAATACTTCTGGGGGGAGACGGGACCAAAACTAGTGTACTGACGAGATTAACAAAGACTGTGATTGACAGAGTGGCTTCTTTAACAATGTGCATTGTTCAAGTGATTTAGTGTAAAACGGCCTGCTCAGTTATATGAGCTATTATGTACTGCGTACAGAGCTTTGTTTAGGGTGACAGTGCTGGTGTGGATGTTTGTGTGCATGTGTTTCAATAAAAAAAAGGTGCTTACCTAGCATACGAATGTAAAGAGCAGTTTGATCAGAACTGTCATAGGAGATCGCGCCGCGTCTCTGTGGAATAAGAAGACTGGGTCAACGTTTAGATCAAACTCATACAGACAACACAGTGACAAATCCATTAAAGACTAAACACTAATAGTCAATAGGAATGCAGTAAAATGCCCTCCACCAAAAAAAAATGGGCCAAAAAAGATTAAATAGGTCAATGAAGTGTGAAATTCAAACACTTAACAAATAACCCAAATGATACCGAAAAAGAGAAAAAGTGCTTGTTTTTTTTTCACTCTTCTGGGCAGCGCAGATGCGTTCAAATAGTCTGAGCAACAGCAGACCAACAGTGAAACACTCAAACATATCCCACTGCAGCTGTGTTCCCTACGGCCTTTACATGTAAAAGCTTACATGCTTTTTTAGAATAAAGTGATTTAATGAGAATCTCAAATAATACTCAGTAACTCAAAATCTTCTGGTAATGAACTTGTCACCTATCATTCAGGAAGTTGTTACTGAGTGTAAAACCCTGCTGTGCTTCACGGCTGTTTCTTCTCTATATGACAAACACTAAAGCCGCTTGCATGCCCCCTACTGGAGAAACTTCAGACTGCTAGAAATGAGTTCCAAAGCTACGGCTACTTGCTTCATGTAATTAAAAAAAAATTTTTTTAAAAAGAAGGGGAAAAAAAAAAAGAGGTGCTGTCAGTCATTATAGCGGAGTCACTCTGGAATTCGGCTTTAGCTGCATTTGGAACATCATAAGCTATTATATTTTTCATCATTTTCAACTTTTGATGTTTAAAAAGGTGCCACTGAATAGAAAACTATTTATATTGGCATAGTTGAATAAGGAGAGTTCAGTACATGGAAGTGACGTACAGTGAAGCTCAAACACTGTTGTTCTTCAAATATAAATCCCGCATTTGCAAAAGAGAAACAGGCCAATTCCAAATTCCAAAATGGTCATGTAACAGTCTTGGGTCATTAATATTTACGGCACCAAAATGTACATACACCAGCCCACGTTCTAGCTCAGCAGGACCGACGACAACGAGCAACAGCAAAGAAAAGGGAGGCTATGTGAAGATATGTACCGTTACAGGCTGTGAAGGTGATGTCGGCACTTTTCATTTCCTTTCCAAGGAACCGAACTGTCAACAGGTCTGGCTGATGTTTATCTTTAAATGAGACTGAAGTTGGCTTCCTATTCACCAGCTTCTTCACTGAATGTGCCGTTCTACCTTAAATGCTACAGCTTACACAGAGACCAAAATGTAACTGTGTGACCATTTAAGGTGGAACGGAAAATTCACAAAATAGTCTGGAGAATAGGAAACCAATAGGATCCCAAACAACTTTAATTCAAAGTTGTTCGTTCGCTCTGCACGTTTCAATCAGGACAGTTTCTCAAACCTTGGACGATATCAAGGAGACTTCGCTCAGCATTTGACACTGAAGAGACTGAAGAGACGGGCAATTCCAACTTCATTAGCATCACAACCTGCAAACCCAACTTCAACCTGTAAGTAGCAGCCATGCTGAGTGATTTTATGAGTGACGCCAGATCATCTTAAACTGAAAGTTCAATACTGAGCTAATAACTTTAATTCACTTTGTGTGTTTTTTGAGATCGAAAGCAAGATAGCATAGGTGACATTAACTGCTAGCAAGCTCTAAGTAACTAGCATAGCTAACTAAATAGTATGATGAGCTAGCTTCTTTACACAGAGGTTCATTTTATTTTCACTCGTATCCATTTCAGCATGTTGCTTCTGTGTGAGTCATTGCAGTGCCTCGCTGAAAATCAGCAAATCAGAGCAGAGCTCATTAGATTATTCATGAGCCCACCAACCAAAAAGGAACAGTTTGTCTCACGCTAGGGCCAAATCACGGGGCTGTAAATGGGCATATAAAACCACATCTGGGCATTTTACGCCTCAACCAAAGTCACATAACTTCTATGTAGACATCAGAGAACAATTCAAAATGCTGAATAAATGCATTTAATGGCACCTTCAATATTATTTAGCAAGTTGTTTAAAATAGTTCTCAAGTTCTCTCAGTTCTCTTTCCCAACATGGTAATTACCTCCTTTGAAGCATTGTTAGCGTTTTTGCATTAATATAAAGGCAAAAATGTAACGGCAAATTATTTATAAAAGAACCTTTTCTTTTGGTTTTCGGCCAAGTGTGTGGTCAGTTTCGGTTTCAGACAAGAATTTTCTTTCAGTGCCTCACTAATAGGCTTAATCCTTGTCTGGGAAACTGACTAGTCTTGGACAACATTTTCATTTCAATTGAGAATCTCTATTTAGAATGCTGAGCAGTCTAGGACTAGACTTAATCCCTGTCCAAGAAACCAAACCTAAATGTTCATGTTGCATGATTAAATGAAATGACTTAAGTTGATACTGGTCATTTTGACTTTCATACAGATACCAAGCGTAGTCTCACAATATTATTACAATGCAATACTATGATTGGGTGTTTGACAGTCTAGGGTTGGCAAGTCACCCAGCCACTGATCCAGCCTTCAATAATACGATACTATGACAAAAACATTAAAAAGAATGTCATCATTGTTTCTTGGTTTTTGACCGTCTGCATCAATATTTGTCAAACGTTTAATAAATTACTATATGAACGGCCTGTAAATGTCCCCGTATACAGCCGAACATTCATCACAATGAATGTTTAAAACAAACACAGACTGGGCTTTATACCTTTTGTTGAATGTTTCTAGAAGCAGAAGGTCAAACCACACGTGACCTAAGAACAATAACATGAGCAACCAGTTGACAAAAGACCACAGATCAATCCTCCTGTACACGATGAGCACTCAGTCAATGACAGACTGGGGACATAAACAAAAGGCTGATGTTTTACTAAAGTATCTCTAAGGCGCCGTTCATTGGGGTGATAGCATGTGTGTCTTTCTCACATGATTATACTCCCATAGATTGGGTGTTTGTTTAACAGTCTGGGGTTGGCAGGTCACCCAGCCACTGATCCAGCCTTTAACATGTGTACACACACATACACGTTTGGTTTTATCCAATGTCACCTGTTAGGGTTACACATATGTCCCTTACAGAGACCATCATCTTTATTTACTTAATTTCCTGTTGAAACAGACATTAAGTACAAGTTCTTCATTTTTCAGGAGAGATTTCTGAGGAGACATTCCACTTACATAAAGAAGCTCAAAGACTCCTAACAACCATCCAAACCTGGTAGACCACTAAACCTGCCACCATCAGATAAACAGTGCTTAAAGCTTTCATCTTTGAGAGAGAGGAGAAAATCAAGCTCCACTCTTGCTTTAAATGTGAGAATATCCAAGTGTTTCTGTCCATCATTCCACTGTGAGAAGACAACTCAACTCTACGAGACTGAAAGGATGTGCAGATGTTAGATGTGCAGAAGCAGGAAAACCTGGAAATCAAGCTGCTGGTGTTTTCAGAACGGTGGACTGACCACCCCAGAGTCCAGACCTTAACATCACCTAATGTGTCTGGGACTTCAAAAAGCAAGTCTCTTGAAAAGAATGGGAATTATAAAGGCAAAGTGTGGTATCAGTAAAAATGATATTATATTTAGTTGTATAGGCCAGCAATAATAATAATCCTGTGTGTACTGCTTTATATGCACACAATAATTTTCATAATCTAAGCATAATTCTTCACCTCACTAAGAAAAATAAACTTTCCCCCTTTCAGTAAAAAAATAAAAAAAATATGTACACAGTTGAGGCGTTTTAAAAAAGCACTTTACAAAGTCAGGGCCATTGTGGTCCTTTTGGTTAGCCCTGTTTTTCTGTGCTGTGTATACAATGTCTGAACATTCTGTCCTGAAAAATGTATGAAAACAAACAAGCACAACACACGCAGTACCTTCAACCCAACAGGAGCAGACTGACCGCTGAATTAAACATGCCTCATCTCTCCCATTTAATCTGCTCGCCGCTTTCTTGCTCTACTACACTGAGCCATTCAGTGATTAACGCGAGAACAGCAACTCACACCTCCGCTGATGAAGCGCACAGAGCACGCGACAGGCCCAGTGCGCGAGAGAGAGAAAGAGAGAGAGAGAGAGGGAGAACTGTTTCTGAACAGTCCCGCCGAGCACTGAACACACAGCTAGCACCAGCTCAAGAGCCCGTCATTTTAAGAACAGCCCTGCAAAAAGACGCCCGGAGAGTGTTACGAAAGGGCTGAGTTACGAAATCGAGAGAGAGAGACAGAGAGAGAGAGAGACAGAGAGAGAGAGAGAGGTTCTCATACTATTCCATTGTCTTTGTCCCACTTAAACACACACAAGCATTTGTACTGATACCAAACAGGCCGATCGATCTGCTCTGTGAATATTCAGATATGGCAATGGTAACTTTGACCACATCAATGATGCAGTGGTATCAGGATGGAATCTGACCAGTGCTGACATCACCGTGACGTTGTAGTAATCACGTGCCTCGTGTCTTTTTTCGTGTCTTTTTCTCAAAGATAACAACACAAGTACAGCAAGGTAGGTTTAAACAATACACAGTGCTGTCAGTGCATATCCACCAGCTTTCAAAAACTGAAATCACCGTTTTCAATAACATAAAAAAATTTGTGGGTACATGAATAAAATTATTCTATTATGATGCTACTAATATACAACTTCACACATTTTAACTAATGTCCAGAGGGATGAAAAGAACTGTAGACGGTTCCTTAATAGAACATTGAGAAAAAAGGTAAAACAAAATAAACATGCAAAATACATCGTATTTGAAACATGGCGATTAATTTTGAGGCAGAAAACTTTGAAATCAAGAAATTACTAAAAACTGATAATTGCAATACATTATTTATCATTTAATAATTTCTTTATATACACTCAAAAAAAATAAAATAATGAATAAAACATCTAGTCTCTTGCTTAAAGTATTTTAATCTTCACTGCATAAACTATTACTGAATAAAATTACTATTAATCCAACGAGTGATTCTAAACTTTTGAACAGCAGTATAGCATATAAAAGATTTTAGATGTTTTCAGACCTGCAAAGTTTCATATGAGCATTTCTAACACATACGAAGGAAAACAATATTCACATTAGCAACAACGGGATGAAAAATGAAAAATAAAATAATCGAAAAGACAAAAACAGGCAAATGTACTACAAACACAAAAAAAAACTAAAAAACATTTTAGATTTAATGTATTAATGTGAGATTTTATTCTCTTGTCTTTTAGATCATGAATCCTTTCACATTATGTTCTTATTGCTTTTCCTTTAACTGTTAACATGTTCTTGCAAGTCACTCTGGATAAGACCGTCTGCCAAATGACAAAAGGGAAAAGTTTTTGTCATTTCAGATCTGTTAACAGTGAAGAAACGAGGGGGAAATAACCCTCTAAACTAGTACGAACCCTCTCTGCACAGTGACGGAGGGAAGGAAATGAGGATGGAGCTCTGAATCACTCAGAGCTCAAGACTGGGCTTGTCTTGTGTTGGCTTACCTCTCCATCTACAAATCACACACACAGTCACACTCTCGCTCGCGCTCACACACACTCCTCAGTACAGCGTGTAGATGGCTGGCCGCGGTGTCCCCAGATGGCATACAATTCAGCGTTTGACGTCAATGGACTGAACCAATTTGCATACTTGATTTTTAGCCATTATCAATCCTCCTCTCGCTCCAGGCCTCTCTCGAATAAAATTACAAAACACTTTGAAGCAGTGCATCTTTTTTTTCAGCAGAGGGAAAAAAGCCCTGAAAATATAGTATGAGTTTAACATAATGTGAAAATACTGTGCAAAATAAATATACAATCTTACACTGCATTGATTTTATTACATACTGGGTATAGATGGCATGGCAAAAATGTAATAGTGCAATACTAGATCTTTACAATGTAGGCTATAATGTGTTACAATATTCTGTTTCTGTGAGATTTGTTAGTATGTTGCAAAACATTTAATGCAACATTAAACATTCAAAAACAAAAACTGGAAATCCAGTATTCTAGAAACACATGCAATAAGCTCAGAAAAGCATATGTATACTTACACACACACACACACACACACACATATATATAACGTAAAAAGAAAAATTGGACAATGAGCAGAATACAATATTTGGGACCTTTTTTGCTTTACTTTTTTCTTCAGTTTGTAGAACTGTAGTACAAAAGCAACAGAACACTCAAAACTGTGTTTTATTGAGAATGACATCACCGAATAACAGCCCAATCACAGTTATGCTATTCATGATAACACTCCATCGTATTTTATTGCTTAATTAATCGAGATAATGCTGACATTTCACCATACTGCCCACCCATATCCAGGAGTGCGCATTATGGTGACATATTAATGCGGTTATGACAATTATGTCACCAATTAACAGAGCCTGACAACAACAACCAGTGTACAGTAAATACATAAACTGTATAGTAACAAGTAGCTGCTTGGATCAGTCCAACAGCTTGATTTGTCCTTCTAAAATAGTTTATTCATGAACAAAAAAAAACAAACAAAAAAGTTGCTATTTTTTGTTGTTTTTTTTTTTGTTTTTTTTTAACTGTTTTGCTTGTTTCAATCGCAATATTGTGATAAATATTGGAAAAATGTCTTCCAACTGTTATGAGGTTATATTTTTGCCTCACCCCATGACATAAAAGTTACAAGAAGTAGGTCAGAAGCTTTAACGTCGTTTCCAGTCTGAGAGGCCCCTGGTCTGTTTGCGACTCCAGTTAATTACCAGTGGAAAAGATAAACCCTAAAAAATTGCTTGCCAAAGATAAACAGCGAGGTGTGTCCACTCCCTGCCAACACAAATCCCAGCACCCTGCAATAACCTCATGTGACATCTGACATCAGTGCCTGCAACCGCCAGACTTCAACTGACGAGCGAAGCGTGCGTTGAGTCAGCCGCAATCCGCATGGCGTTATTTCGCCATCAACGAGCGCAGTGTTTACACACATCCCTTGGCGTTGGGTGGGTGAGTAATTTCTAGCAGGGGGGTGTTGAGAAGAGCATGGCCCATATGGCCTCTGCTCCAGGCTGGCACGGTACGGGCGCGCAAGGATGGCAGGAGTAGACCAGAGAGAGTCCGACGTTAGCACAAAAACACAAACGCTCTCAGCAGGGCTTGGACACCAACTGATGAGGACGCACCTGTGACTTTCAGAGGGTTGGCTGGTGATTCAGAAGAGAAAAAAAAAATCTTTTTTCAACACAACAAAACAGATAAATCGCTGTGTATGCACCACCAGATCACATAATACTGAGCGATATATCCTACATACCGGTTATATCAGCACTGGTGATTTTTTGTTTTAGCTGTATGTTTTTGCTATTAATGAAGTCAACTGCAACATACGTACTTCAGTCTATTTTACAAACTAATCAGGTTAAAATTTACAATACTGTATAACATTCTGTGAGGTGCAATTTCAAGAGAAGAAAGCAAAACAGTTCTACTGAAATTATTGGTCAGTTTTGTAAAATATTCTTTTAGAATATAGTACATGCATTCAGGAAGCATAGTCCCATTATCTTTACCTATGCAAATTTAAATGCCATTTGATACTGCAATATATATTTAAACAATACTGTAAATTTCATCAATATCACCCAGCACTAGTTACATAGAACAGCCTTGAATCCAAGCAGGACATTTCCTAGACTGTAAAAAACAATGTAAGAGTTAACCACAAAAATAAATAAATAAATAAATAAATAAAAACAATGTGAAATAAATAAATGAACAAACAAACAAACAAATTGAGGAAAGAAGAAAATGTGACTCACAGTGACCGAGACGCAGAATGCTACAAAAGGGAAGCATGACTACAACCATTTATAAAGTACATGGGGAATTTCAGCACTGCTTTGAGGGCTCTATTTGAACAAGTTAACCCAACGCGACTTTGCTTACCCACATGCCAATTGCTACACAACATTTGGATGTGAAGCATGTTGGAGGCTGTTGTGAAGAGACAGTTACGCAAAGAGGGTTTCCAACAACACGCCAGAGCCAGCAGCCAATCTAGAGACACACTATCATGAGAGGTTCAGTCAAGGCCCACGGCGAGGCTGTTCAAACACAAAACCTTCATATCTGCTACACTGGTGCCAGCACACAGTTAATTATGTAAAGTAAAAACTCTTCACCGACTCTACTTTTAAGCAGCTCAGATAAGGGCTGAACGATTTGGTGAAAATGCGTAATTGTGATTTAAACACAATTATTTTCTATAAATTCAGCTCTAGGCCCTTTCCCCCCCTCAAAAAGACCACACTGATTTTTGGGCTTAAGTGCAGACTGCCAGTTCACAAGCTCTGTGCTTTTGGAAAATTTCCCAGCTTAAAACTTGATATAATGATAATTAACTATCAATTATAGTGAATTATTTACAACTGTAACTCTCGCGATCTGAAAATTGCACTTTCAAATTGCAATTTCAATATAAAATCAAACATTTAATCAGACATCCTTGTTTCAATTTCACTCATCCAGATGCATTCTGAAATGAGCCTCCTGCTTCGTGTCTTCCACTATAAGCCACTGACCACAAGTCTGCTCACAATAGCGATAAGAAGCGTAAAGCTAGATCTGTTGATGGTGCACCAACAGCCATGTTCCAGTCCCAAACCAGTGCTGGTGATTATATAATCTCAATCTCAATAATGAGATTATATAATCTCATTATTGTATTCTTAGTTTTAGATTGTATTTTTTAAATGTGGAACTGATGTTTTTTGTCTGCTCCAATTTAATAAACTACAGAAAAACTAAACATCATACTGCATATTTAGTGCACTTTGAAAATGTCTTGAAGTAACATGATAGGTTTTTGGCACATGGCCCACTCTTAGCATTAAGATTTGTATGTGCCTATTTAGGATCTATATGACCAATTTCCATATTTACAAACAGTTGAATACAACACCACAATCAAAATATAATCACACTTCTATGCAAATATACAGAGATCAATGCACATAACAATAAGAAGGGTTAAACGACTGTATGCCTGAATAAACACAATTGTTTTCTATTCCAAGGTGACTGCTATGGCCGAAGCTGGGGCAAACACAAAGGAGCCCGTATTATAGGTCTTGGGGGAAATCCTCTCTGATCATTTGTGCCATTTAGTTACAGGCATTTGACCAATAAAGCTCTCTGCAAGCTGCCTTTAAGAAACAGCTAACTATAAGGACCGATACATATACGAATGTGTCAATATTAGTATGATACAAGCATATTCCTTTCTCAAAGAGTGGCAAAAGGCTGAGCTGTTCTTTGAAGTCACATCAAAAACTACAATAGCTCCACAATGCTGTTGTTTCAAAATATCAGAACTTGTTTTTTTCAGTTTTGATACCATTTAAAAATGCCAGCTGTCCTTCATTTCACGACAAATGAACCAACAGAAATGGTCCGAAATAACCGGGAATAAAATCCCGCTGCTTTAAAATCAAGGCCTTTTTCCTTCTTCTCCTATTAACCTTCAGTTTCAGAGATACAAGCTTTTGTTACGGCAGCAACGTTCAGTCACCTACTGAAACCTACCTTGGAGAAAATCCATCTGACGAGAATGGCAATTACAGACCAGATTACAGCTATTCCCATTGGACCTTACAGACACAGTGGATCATAGTCTCGGTCAGTTTGAGTGTGGGTGTTACTGTCTGTGTCCGTGCGTGCGTGTATAAGAGTGTGTGAGAGAGAGAGACTCTGGGCAGCTAAAGCTGAGCTCAAGGCCCAGACAGTGTGCACTCTGAGCTTAGTGCAGCTGTCTTAGCCGCGCTGCCGTCACCTGACCACACAATCATGGGATAGGCGCCATGGATGGACACAGACATACACAAACCAGCTGCCCATGATAGCCCTGAACGCCTCCCGTCCTTTCCGGCTCTCCTTCGCTCTCCTTCGCTCTCGTTCGTTCACACACACACACACACACACACACACACACACACACACACACACACACACACACGACGGTCTTATAAAACTCTCTTTGTGGGGATTTGCTTTGACTTATATATTAATATATACTGAGTGGTGGGTGAGTGAGAAAGTAACCAGTGACCAGGCCAGAATTGCCTCCAAAAGTTAAAAAAAAACCCCAAGAACTGTAAAATGGATGGGCAGAAATGGCCCATAATGAATCCCATGTAATATACAGTATTGTCCAAAGGTCAGAGACCATCACTGACTTATTTACTTTCCAGTCAAAAGAAAAAACAAACAAACAGAAAATACACAGAAGCCTAAACAATTAAACTCATCAATTTTTCAGTGTTTTTATCATAACTTCCATTCTTTTCAGGAGACTCACTTTCACTTTTTCAAAGAAATCTGCAGAGATATTTTTCCACACCTCTAAAGTTCAGTCTTAGAAGTTGGTTACACTTCCTGCTCCTCACAATCCGAGTAACTCCCAACACATTTAATGATGCTGAGGTCTGGACTCTGGGGTGGTTAGTCCATTGTTCTGAAAACACCAGCAGCTTCTTTGTTTGATTTTATTAATTTTTATCTATGTGCATTTTGTCAGTAACAGTTTCTTGACAGCTCTCACGTCCTTTCAGACCCATAGTGTTGTCTACTCACAGTGGAAGGATGGAGAGAAACACTTGTGAATGTTTTCAGATCTAAGGCAAGAGTGGAGCTTGATTTTCTCAAAGAGGAAATATTTCAACTGTTTCTCTAATGGTAACAGTTTTGATGGTCTACCAGATTCTCATTTTCTATGTATTATTTAATAATGTTTTGTAATTCAGCTTTGGAAGCTGTTACCCCCTTTTTCACTCTCCCCTTCTTCAAGTGTGGATTATCTTAACCAATTTCCACAGAAACATCTAAAGAAAATAAAATATAAATATAAAATATCAAATGTTTTCTGTAGAGAACAAAAGTCCAACATGAAGCCCAAAAACACCTGACAATCCAGAGGGCACAAAATTGATACATAATAAAAAAAAAATGCATTTAAAAAAAAAAAAATCTGACCCCCTAAACCTAAACTTAAGACGTACCATTTAAATGTTCCTCTCTTACCGTTCCTCTCTTACCGTTTCTAAATGTCTAATTGACTCTTTTAGTCCAAAAAAATAATAAGCTATCATAAAAAAAAAGCTGCAGTTCTCTTCAGCCAATGTTCTTGCAGCATCAAAATTCACGTTTTCCTATCATTCTAGGGACACTTGGTACCCACAAAAAGCTAAATACATAGACACACACAGACACGCACACACCATCACCCCCCTCAAACCCCCCGCAGCCGCCTAGCGACAGCCAACCACATCAGTAGCTCCATTGACGCACGCAGTGGGAGGGGTTGGTAGAGAGAGAGCACGCTTGAGTCTCCTTATCAGCAGAGCTAGAGTGCAGACTGTACACTCTATTTACTAAATAAAAGACTGCCGGCACCTCAACAGCTTCATAATGAAAGATTTGGGCTCAAGAACATGGAGCATATTTATTTTTCATTTACCCTGCTGCAACCTTAGGGACCCACCGCATTCAACACAATTCAGGCCTGCAGCAGCAAGACTTTACTGTACTAGGTCATTGTTAAAAAGACATTATAGGCTGAGGATTTTTTTGAAACATACATTCCTAATCTGACAGTCAATCAACCCATGAATAATGTGCAACATTAAAGCCACAAGTCCTTCTAAGGACTCAGTGATGATGCATAGCCTCATTGTTCCAAAACAACTCACATATACCAGGAATTCAATTTGTCGTTTCCAGTTCAAAATCATTTGCAAGTAACAGCTTTGGGTTTGTAAAACAGACTTGTTCTAAGAACAGGTGTGCAACGAACACACAGACCAAATTAGGCCCGTCCTAGCATTGACATCACCATACATATCTGTGGAGGAGCATTTCCACAAATAGCCCACAGTAAGTTAACCGAGCATGCCTCCGAACACCACAGCACGAGCCTACAACACTGAAAACTTCACAGCTTCTAACGGCCCACAAGGCCAGTTCTGCGCACAGTCGATTCGTTTAAAGTGTGCAACATTGACGGGAACACCACTCTGACTTCTACTATCCGGAAATAATCCTCTATTACACCCACCCACCGCCACCGTTACAGTTACACTGACCACATCTTTGCGGAACATGCATTCCCATCAACGCCTGGACAAAAAGAGAAGCTTAAGTTGCTTGACCACATGCTTAATCAAATAGTGGAGTACTACCGGCCAGTATAACAGTAACAAAGTACAAGGCCGTTATACACAGACTGCGATTTTTTTGTGCTATTTATTCGGACGACAACAAATGTATAACCGACGGTCTCTTGCACACCAAACACGCTTTTTCAGACACCCTCAGCTCGATTCCTGCAACAAAAAACTTACTGACCAATCACGGTCATCTCTGGCACTGTCATGACTCTAACCAAGATGACATGGTAGCTGTGTTCCAGCAAACCGAACTTCTTCACAGACGCTAAAAGGATTCAAATCTTCGAAAAGCAGCTCAAACTGAGCTACAAACATCAGGTTAAATGTGGGAGCACTCAACATCTTAACCTCTGAATGAAGTGATGATTCTCTTCTCACTACTTTCACTTTTCCAAAAAGGACAGTAGCCCAGGGTCACCCTTTGTCAACTGGGTTTTATTTGCACTTAAAGACATTCAGCTCATTTGTTTGGAGCTTCTTTTACTGTGGAGCTGCATCTCCAAATTCAGTTGAGTTTGAGCTCCTGAAATAAGGTGGAGAAACTCTGTTCTTTTTTTGACATAGTATATCAAATATATATTCTGCCAATATATGTTTAAATATTCTGCCCAATTTTTTGCAGCATGAAAATCACAGTGTCAGAATATTTCACATCTTTGTGCCAATTTTACGGGTCACGTTCGGTGGGAGCTCACTAATAGATGATGCTGACAGAAAAAGGGGAAACTCCGAGCCAGGAAAATCCTCAGAAAAACTAAGCATGATAGCATCTCAGCAACAGCTAAGAGGCCCACACACCACAGAACACACTGAACTTCAGCTTTCACTCAAAGCCCAGACAATCAGCTTTGTGTTCTCGGATATCTTCTAAACAGGTTTCACTTTAGCATCTGTTAGCTGGAACTAATCCTGTGCTGTGGTGTGTGGCCCCCTCTCACCAGCTAACTGAGCTATCATTAGCTTAGCCAAAACGCTACAGCCCCAAACAGAGGTTAGAATTTGGCTCTCTCTCACTTCAACACCACTCACTCAACATTTGCTCTCTCAGACTTCATCATCTACACTTGTGTCAGCAGAGCACTAGTTAGTCAGAATCAAACCTGTACTGTGGTGTGTTGCACTGTTTGGGTCTGTGGCTAAGCTAATGTTAATTCAGCTAATAACCAAACTGGGTAACAGAAAGTGAATGAGGCTGAGGTTGGCTTCTTATTCGCCAGCTTTTTGCTTAAATTTTGCAGCAGTTACACTCTGGTGCCTCAGTTTTGAAACAAAATGAGAAAAAGAAGCTGGCAAATAAGAAACAAACTTCAGCTTCATACAAAATAGTGCATCCTCTTTTTTGTGATTTCAAGACAAGGCTAACAGCTAAAATGGAGCTCTATTTGACCTCAATCATTAATCCTCATATTCATGACAATAACCTAAAATCCACAATGTTTTTGGTGATGGCCGAAGCATAAAGAGAAGGAAAATTAAGCCAAAAATACCTCTCGCAAGGCAGTGCGTTTTCTGTCTTGTTGGTTGGCAACTGGCAAGTTGAACGAACCCACTTTATTAGCCTAATGCCAGCATATTTGCCATTTAGCATGTTGGTACTTTTCGGAAGTGTGGCACTTGTCACACAATAATGACATAAACGCCCATGCAATGATGTTTTGATCCAGACTATTTAGGGTAAACGGGGGAAACTACAGAGATCCTTTATCACACACACAATATATCTCGCTGCTGTCGGAATAAAACCTCATCTCTCCATTTTTGACATTTTTCAGTTTTTGACCATTTGAAAATGCCTGTTGTCCTTTACATTGTGTGCAAAATTCATGATGAATGGACGAAAAGAAACGGCCCAAAATGATTTGGAGGAAAGTCTGGTTACATTGACTTACATTAAAAATAAAGTAGGTTTTTTCCTTCTCCTGTAAAGCTGTAAAGTTAGCATTTTGGAGATACAAGGTTTTGTTCTGACAACAGCAAGACATATTATATATCCCCATCCCACAGTTAAACATGCTGGTAACATTACATTTAGATCATTTAGCAGATGCTCTTGTCCAGAGCGACTTACAAAAAGTGCTTTGTCTATCCAGAGAAAGTATCTTATCAAAGTAGTTATCAATAGGTTAGAGAGAAAGCCAGTCCTAAGCTCAGATAGAAATCAGAAAGTCATTGACACCTAGTGAAAAAAGAACAGATTTAAACACAGAGCAGAGTAATACAATACAATACATAAGTGCTTTACAATACATTACAATCAATACTTAATTCAGAGCTCATTCTAACACGATGTTTCAGAATTACCATGGAAGAATGTTAAAATCACAACTTGCTGTCCCACAAATGTACAATATATATCCGCTTGTGGTTTTGACGAGTGCTTATGCACCTCTGCTAAATTCAGAAATCTGTCATAAGTGTGCACTTAAGCAAAACCTCAAACCGCAAGCATGGATTTGGGAAAGGACACTAATGTACGCAGCTGCAAATTCCACAGGAAGTATGAGTGCACCTCAGAACCTTCAAACCTGGGCCAAGCAAAATCCCTGACAACGGTCAACAGAGAAGTCCCACAACACGCTTCCAATAGAGCCATGTCATCGGTCACGAGTCATCCCAGGAGTTTCGCCTCTCTCCGGGAGCCACTCAATAAGTCTCAAGTGCATGCCTGCTGGTCATTAGCAGCACCGTGGAGGGAGACCAGCCGCAGCTGTGGTCGAAATGGAACGTCACCGGCCAGCGCTCGCTGCTTTAGGAGCCCCTGGCTGTGATTCAAATAGACGATGATTCTGTGGCCAGCGCACTCCATTAGGGTAGAAACCCCTAATCATCAAAGCGCTGAATGAATGAGTAAGCTGTTTAAAATAAGTCTAGTGGCTGTCACACGGATCACACTACTGATTACAGCTATACTGTAGACATCAGAGCCAGGTTCCAGCCACAAGACAGGATTATCTGCTGTCCAGTGCCAAGCTTGTGACCTTAACAGTAAAGTCCAAAAGAGGTCAAGCAGTTTAAAATCTGGACTTGTCAATGAGACCAAAATGCAAACGTAGTATTGCAGACTAGCATAGTCACCATACTCACCATACTCAATTTCTCAATGTATTAAATTTATATATTGATTACACTTTACCTTCTCAAAAAACTGCTGTGTTTTTTTGGAGAATTTGCATGAGAACACATATTTTAAGTCCTCCCACTGGTCTCCAGGCTTGTGCGATCCTGTGCAATACACTATTGCCTATGGGCGGACGATACGGGGGGGGGAAGAAAATATCACACTGCTTTAAGAAATTTAATGATGCACGATATTTATTTCTTCTGATATCTGAACAGTTGGAACAAACAAAAAAAGAACCAGTGGTACCATACTTGAAAAAATACTATCAAAAACTATGAGTACAATGATTTTTATTCTGTGTTTCACCCACAATTTTTAAAGCTCTTTCTATAAACAAACACACAGTTGGTCAGTACCTACAACATGCACAGTATGCTCAGAAAGCATATTGTGATATAGTTTTTCAGCATAACGGTAAATGCTGTCATATTACCACAGCCCTACTACTGTCCAATTGCAGTCCGTAATAATCACCAATTACCAACAGTATTGTATTGACAGTATTGACAAGGGACATGGAAATTGTACAATTAATGGTATTATTGTACGACGAGTTACATGGAAATTGTACATTTATTTTCAAATAAAACTATTTTACATGCAGAAGTAAACCTGTTTTTGTAGGTTAACAGTGGCTTATTATTCTGGAATGTCCCCTTACTCTTAATAGGAACCATTATTAACAAACAAAGACACTCTAAAATATTTTTTTTCTGTGCAAAAGAGTAAAAACTAAA